GTTGTAATCATACAATTAATACTTCACCGAAATTACACTTTTATTGTATGTTTAAAGATTTTTTTGAGCTTGAAGATCATTTAATTTTAATAAGCAATGAGGCTACAAGAAAAACTCTTACTCGCTTTAGACTTAGTTCACATAATTTGGAAGTTGAACAAGGGAGATTAAATGGGATTGATAGACAAAATAGATTATGTAAATTATGTTACCAAAATGTTATTGAATCTGAGTACCATTTTCTGCTATGTAGTAATAAATATGATGATTTAAAAAGACAATACTTAGGAAATATCCTATGGCCAAATGTTCATAAATTAAAACAGCTTATGTAAAAAAAAAAAATTTAAACTTTTTAAAATAACGAAATTTATAGATGAGTCAACGAAATGTCGAAACAATTATTTAGAATTTCTCACGGCTTCTTAACGACTTGTTAAATCATTGTCTCTTAAGTTTAAAATTTGTTTATTATTAACTAGTATTTTTTCGATACATTTGTTTGATTATTTCAGTGTAAAAAATAAACATGTTTATAGTTATATTGATGTTAAATGTCTTTGCCATATAGTGTTTGTGTGTTAATTGCCAAAGAAAATGTTCATTGTCGATTTGCCAATAAACTTGAAACTTGGTATAATTCGTTGGATACTTGTAACATAATAGAAATATTTCATTTTTTAAAACGCTAATTTTAAGCTGTTTTGATAACTATTTTTTTGTTGTAAGGATGCCGGGAAGATATTGAATGTCAGCATTGTAGTTCCTGATCTGCGATCTAACTAAGTATAAAAAGCAAAAGCAAAAAAAAAAATAATAGTGATAATAATAATTCTGAATTAGGCATGCGAGTTTTGCATTAGTAAATTGACAATCATGATACCTAAGTTGCTTGATAGCTAATTTCAAAGTAATTTATTCACATGATGTTGATTAGTGTAACATCAGCAAGCCCTTGAAACAATTTCAAATTGATTAAAAATGAATAACAGGAATTATTAAAGATTTAATTTTTCCAGAAGACAATCAGCAAGCTTACATGCAAGAGATAGTGACTGGATGGTCTTCCGTGTCAAACCGTTCTGAAAAAAATGTTTGTTGTAATAACTTTTTAAAGGCTTATCTTTGTTATCTTCTGGGCAAAAGTGTGAAACCCAATTTATTTTTTCCACACACACACGCGCGCGCGCGCACGCACACCCACCCACCAACAAATGCATCAGCACACGCACACACATGCACATACGCACGCATGTTTTCTCCTATTTGAAATTCAATGTAATTCCTTTCATACTTTTCAAACAAAATAAAACATGTTTTAGAAATAAATGCCTAATCTAAAAAAAATCAAAAGCCTCAGTAACAATAAGCCCGGTATATCATTTTTTGTATGAAAAAAAAAGATCATTATATAAGCTTATAGTATTTTCTTATGGAACGATCAGAAATAAATCATTTTGATTCAACAGCGATTCAAGCAGTTGCAATTTTATAGGAGATATTATGTAAGGTGATTGGACACCGCCAATTTGAGTTACAGAAAATTCATTATTTTCAAAGCTGTGATATACAGATCTTATAAAAAAAAAAACACCAATATCGTACTTAAAGAATTTAAAAAAAATGGCTGTCAAACTATCTGATCCAGGACTTTTAGAGTTCACCATAATTGAAAGGTAAAAAATACTCCTGTTTTTCAATTCTATTTTCTAAAGAAATAGTGCGGTCAAGAGAAATTTTAGGGATATCATTAAAATTCAAGTGTTGTTGTTGTTGCTGCTGTTGTTATTGTTGTTGTAAGTGAATATCTGTGATTTCTTTCAGAATTTAGGGGGGGGGGGGGGTTATTTAAATTCTGAAATTCATTGACAATTTCTAGTTCTGTTTCGGCAGTATCCCTGTTAGATTTTGCTAAATAATAAATTGAGCATACATTTGCGGATATGTTTTTTTATTTTTAAGGAACACAAATATTTAGTTGGGATATCCCTTTTATCGACCAATACTGCTTGAAGACCTTCAAATATCTTTTTTCTTATTCTAGTGTGACCCCGGTACGGAATAAGACCGTGCCCGTTGTAGTCTAGAAAGTAGTTCTTTTAGATTTTAAAGTTGCCCATTTCAAGTCATCCTTGGAAAGACTGATTACATTTTAAGTATATTTGTTTGTAAATGTGTACATGAAGTTTCATTTCTGAGTACTTTTAATGTTGTTTTTTGTGTATCTTTGCAGGATTTCATTTCTTGGTGGAAAATTTCAGGAAGTACCATTGGCCAGAATACACCCCAGTTGTTATTTGGTTTATTTTATAGTGCTTAGACAAATTAAAAGCTGCAGAAAAAGTACAAGGGCTAATGTATTATTGTTGTGCTAAATTTAGTTGGACAGTAATGTGTTGAAAGTTTTAGCCACCAAATGCCTGTACGGGATATGCCCTGTTCAAAATTTAGTCCTAGATGTGATGGATTTACTATAGGATAAAGAGTGCGAAAATTCAGTGGACCGTCTCCTTCTATTTAATACTGCGGCATTAGCCTATATTATTTTGTTCATCTTCCTGTAGTTAATTAAACTATTCCAGACGTAATGTTTTCTTTTTTGTAACATTGCTTTTTAAAGGGTAGAATATGAAATTAAAAAAAAATATACATTAAATCTTATATCAGTGTAGGTTTTTTTTTCTAAGTTTTGGTTTTCTTCAGCATGTTTCGTTTCCTTTGAAATTGTTTTAGTTTGTTCAATATATTTTCTATCTTTCAATAAGGAGTAATTAAATTTCCAGAAGCGTTCGGTTTGCTTTTTTTCTATGTTTTTCTTTTAGGAAAAAGAATGGTCACTTCTGAACTGAGAAGCTACTGTAGAATCATATACGCTTGAAAACTATTTTTGCAAATTAGAAAGAAATCAAGTTAACACAATGTTTGCTGAGATGCTAAGGATTTTGAGTATGCAACGTTAATTTTCAGTTTCATTATTATGTTTGCGCCAGATAACGATAAGATCAAATACTGCGCGGTTTTACAGCACAAAGATAAATTGCATGAATATAATTACATGTATTTTAGTCTTTTCGAGGATCAAGAAAGTAATTCAAATCTCCTGTCGAAATCATATTTTTGTTATTGTCATAATCTATATCTTCCTTTATATTTTAGTCAGCCCTTTATATTTTAGTAAAACTCAACCTAAGATACTGATAGTTATGTTGAACATTTTGATTGAGCCCAATCCTTCATGAAATAAAATAAAAGATTTAGGACTATACATTTGTGCAGTCTAGCCAGGCCCATTTCTCTTGACTGACATATTTCAAGTTGTTATCTCCTTATCTCTAAATTTGATGAGTGACTGTTCCAACAAGATTGCATTTGTGACAAAATGCTATGATACTACATTATACAAAACTAAATTGTGGGAACGTGATTATGTAGGTCATTTTTTGTTTCTATACAATTAAACTTTGCGATAATTCAGTAGTGTCAAGTGAATTTGTGGTCAAGGACATGTGCAGCAGTATCTAGTAGTTTAAGACGAAATTGCATAGTGATACATACATGTAAACAAGAAGCGCCGCAATGCGAAGAAAACCAGGTTTTCAACCACCAACTATTGGTGTGACGGGAAATGGGTCCAAAGTTGCCTCTTGATATAACACGTGCATATCAAGTAACGAAGAATGTGCAAATAACGGAAGATTGACGCCGAATCTGTGCAACGGTATTGCCAAAAACGAATAGCACAGTAAGTAAACGAACAAAATATTTTATTCTTACTCAAATTTAAAAAAATGAATCCGCGCATACGGCTACTACGACATTATACTTTAACCAGCATTAATAAAATTTTCAGGAATATATTTACTTCTTTAGATCATTCGTGACAAAGTAGTGTGCACTAGTTAATTATTATCAAATACAACACATTGAACATACTGCATAATGGAATTTTGAGGATTTTCATATAAAAGCCTGAAATAATCCTCTCTTGATTTCAAAGCACATAATTATGCACTATGTTTTTAGAACATCAAATAAATCCATACTCTTTACCTTAATGCCTGCGTAACAGTCAGCTTAAGTTCTAGATCCTTGTCAGAGTGCATGTGTGTCCGTTATACTGGTCAAATGACATTTAAGAGACATTTATGTATAATAACTTACCACGCGCCTTCACTGGGGCTTTACACAATAAGCAGCAAACAGCAATAAGGAACTTCATTTTAAATTCTGATATATACAATTCTGAAATATCAAAAACACAAGTTTTTTTATACAATAGGCATTTATCTCAAGTAAAACAAATTCAAGGAACCTACAATTAAAGAATAACTACAGAAAATGTAAAAGAAGACCACATCCACACTCTGTATTTCATTCACTAGGAGTGGTTATGTGTAGGTTAAGTTAATGCGATGGAGAGGGAAGAGGTATGAGGAATGGATGTTCTGAAAAATACACCAGGATACAGTAAATTCAATCTGCAAACACTTTGATAGCATAAGATGTTTTGGCCCACATTTTGCTCTTCTTTACCTTATATATGAAAATATTGTTATGGCTAACTCTGTGTTATATATAATAGCTTACAAGGAATTCATATTTGACTAAAAATACATGCGCTGAAAATAACTATTTACAACGAACTTAAAAAAGAACAGCATATTCATATATTCTGTTTTCTCTACGTTTGACTCCATTTGCATGCAATTTGTATTAGAAGATGGATTGATTAATTGGCATCTTTTTTTTTTAATAAGTACTTATACACATATATGTTTTCATTTACATATAGCCTATTTCGATGTTTGCAATATGTCATTGATATTTTTTACTTTTTAATTACACATTTAACAATCACATCAATCAGTTCATGATATTTCAGAGGTGATCTAGGCCAGTAAAGTGAAAAAACATATCATCATCTGGTATATTATTGAAGAGTCTAGTATTATAATCAAAGGGAAGTAAATTCTCTATAAATTTATCAATGAGTGACCAGAATTATGAACTTTCAATTTTATCTATGTGTGATTCTTTAAAAAAAGTCAGTTTTTTATAATATTTTAAAACTACAGTGTGCAGAAATAAAGAGACGTCAGCAATGCTTGCACATCAATATCACACAATCTTTGTAATCATCCACGACATAACAAATCAATATACTAATCCATACAGGACCAACTCCATTCACAAAATGTACACATCGAATATGAAACGCTCAACAAACAATGTTATTTTTTGCCCATTATTTTATTGAACTTTATGTTTATTTTCATTTATATTAAGAATCATAAACCAGCACTTGGTAGCTTTAAGAACTCTTGCATTACACCGAAAAACAGACTAATTCTCCATAGATATTCTTTAAGAAGGTTAACCAGTTTAAGTTCAATATATCTTTACAAAACTTGTTATGTAGACTATGCCCAAATCGTGAGCTTCATATGACAATCAAATATATGAGCCATATGCGTAAATAGGTTGAATGTATTATTAACAGGGACGACGAGGAAAGAGTGCCAGGGTGCGTGAGCCCCTAGCACAGAGAGTGACGGCTTGAAATGCAGGCCCTTTGCTGGACTTACATTCCTTTTTCAGGGCTACCTCCTCCTTTCCCTATTGTCTCAGGTGACTGTATATTTAGTTTCTAATTGGCCGCCGTACAGTTACCTAATTTGGGCTCAAAATTCATATCTTTGGCTAATTCTCCATGAAAATTGCAAGAAGGTAAATCATAACCACTTTGTGTTGCAAAATTAACCATTTCAGGGTGTGACTAGTCATATGTCCGGAGTCCGTTCTCGTCATTATAGTATGTATAATAGTTGCTTAAAATATGTTTGGTATTCGTTTATGGATAAAAAGAAATTTTCTATGATTTGTTTATAAATCAAATCAATTGTTACCATTATTTATTTAATCATTTGTAACTGTACTTCAGTTTAGTAAGATTCTTTGTCACAAGAAATGATTATCTAATTATACTATTCTTATATCTATTTGTTAAGATTATATCAGAAATTCAAGTGTCTTAGTTAATTACTGTTTAATATTGAGTTTCTTTATGGGTTTAAGGGCTGATGTATGAAAATAAAATTTAGAAGCGTATATTCGAAAAGCCGTTATCCAAAATCCTTTACAAGATGTTTGAATGTTGAATACTGCTTAAGCTGGTGCTAGTGGGAGTGGTTAGAAAACTTGCATTTTTTCAGTACTGTCCATGAACAGGCTAATACAACTGAGCCTGCGACATAATCAATTTAACATACCTAAAGGCTGCAGAAGAAGCTAAAAAGATAGCCGCCAAAAACAAGATCATATATGATCAGAAGGTGAGGCAAATTCTGCTTGATGTGGGAGATAAGGTATTGATTCGAAAGTTGGAGGTTATGGGACCAAAATGTTGTCAGTTCGTTTGGAATGGGGCAATCTATAGAGTCTTTTCTCATCCAAATCCTGAGATTCCTGTATAAAGAGTTAAGCAAAAAAACAAGAGGGGCCCAGTGAAACGTCTACACCGGATTATGTTACGTCCCTATCCTCTAGATCATCTTGTGGAACAGGAGAGTATGGGACTAAGTAAAGAGACCACTTCTCGCAAGATAACTTTTATTAAGTTCAGATCGATTGCCCACATTTTTTGCCATTGAAACCGGGGATACCATTGATTTTGACTCCATATTAATACTAAAAAGTATATCTACTTCCATCACTGATACCCTACCCCAGAGAGTCATTAAGGACAGTACAGTAGGTTAAATATACTTTGTCTGTGACCCCAGAACCATCAAAACCTGGAATCACTTAAGAGTAACCCCTTTGCAGAGACAGTTTTTTTTATCTGACCATTTTTCCAGAACTAATGTTTAATTTCCACAATCAGAGACTGAGACTTATTTGGTAAGTGATTGCTAGCTCCACTGAATATGAACCCTCATCTTCAAATGTCCTGTGAGGCACAGAGTCCCACTGCAGAGATACAATGACAGGATTAATCCTACTATGACATTTTTAAGCCCAATATTTGGAAGTATTTTTATGATTGTTACATATGAGTATATAATGTAAAACTTTGAATTTTTCCAATTAATTTCTACACAGGAATTAAAGTAATCATCAATGATCAATGTTAAAAAGACATCAGATAAAATTGGGGTCAAATTGACTTATTTGGGGCCAGATTGACTTGGCGCCAGGTTGACTCGCATCAGTCTCAACATATTCAAATAATGCACAATTACAAGATAGTCTTTATCTTTCCTCAGTTACATAAGTAAACATCAAAACATTAAGTTTATTAAAATTAAACAATGTTATGAAAAAACATAAAAGAGGAAGCAAAAACAAAAACAAGAACATTTTTGTAAACACAAATGCTTTCGGCTTTGATTCTTGTTCAAAAATGTTTAACCATTTACTCAGTTATGAAAAATTGCCAAAACTAGGAATGTGTCGTCACGCCAGGGATGCCCCGGCATGCAGTCTAAATTTCAATTGAATATAATAATATTTACAGCTCCATTTGTTTGAATAAACTATTTTTTTCTTTCTAAAGCCCTTTAATTTTTCAATGTTAACACAAACCATTTAATAATATTTTAATAATAAGTTCAAGGCCCTGAAACTATTCAGTGTTAACCTTTTGCAAATTGTATATTGTATATTTGTAGTCGAGATGATTAGAAATTGTGAATCTTTAAATCTTTTTAAAGTCCAAGGTGGAAAACTGTCAAACAACATCTGACCATGACCAAATTCGAACTTGACTTGTATTTTCTGGTAAAATACCAGCACATGCAATGTCATTACTTCAGACATACATTCCTACAAAAGTTAGAACAGAACCTGAAAATTTCTCATTTTTTGCTAAATTCAAAGAAGGATAACTCTGTCAAAAATCATTAAACCAAAACCAAATTGAAACATGATTTGTATTTTCTGGATAAATACATGTGATTTCAACCTTTAACAAACATTTCCGCAAAATTAATATTGCGTGCGGAAACCGAATTTTTTTTCAACGTTCAAGAGAGATAACTTCGTTAAAAATAATCGAACCAGGACCAAATTCAAACGTGATGTATCTAAATGCAAATTTGAGGTGAACGTGTACACATGTTGGGCAGATAATGAACAGAAAAAATAATTCTAATTTCTTTCAAAGTTCAAGAGGGATAACTCAGAAATCTACCAAACCATGACCAAATTTAAACTTGACCTGCGTATTCCTATAACTTATCCATATATTAAATTTCAGTTCAATATGTACAACTTTTGGGGAGACAATTAACGAAACTAAAACATTTCTATTTTTCAAAGTTGAAGGTGCATAACTCTGCCAAAATTCATTGAACCATGACCAAATTTGTACTTGATCTGCACATTCCTTTGACATATGCATGTTTGATTTGAGTTGAATGTGTACAACTGTTGAGGAAACGATGTATATACATGTATATATATATATTTTGTGTATACAACTTCATTTATATTTCATTAACCACTACATGAGTTCAGTTTAAGACAACTTCACTAAGGCATCAAGATATCTTTAATGTAGATTCATTAATATATAACTCTTGTCTAGGTTTTATAGAATTATTGTCAAAATTATTGTCAAATTTCCTAGTCAAGATTTTTCCACAATCCCTAAAACCTTATACTTGAAACAAAATTCAAAAGTTTTCAGGGTCATAATTACAAGTCACTAACCAAGACTTTCTGCCTCTATTATGTTTTTCCTTTTGTAAACTTAGATAATTCCTAAGATGAGCTTTTGTGTGTAGGCTCTATATATTTATGTATTTTCCAGGATAGTCTTTTACTATTAAGCCATATGAGAAAGATGAGAACAGTTGTTCTTAGCTCATACTATCCTAATATGTCTCATTACTTAAAACCAAAATAGCAATCTAACTTTGCAGAATTTTGTCACAAGCTTGCTGCAAGCATATGTTGTAAGCTTGCCACTGGCTAGTAATCGGAATCTTGCGGCAAGCTTGCGAAAACTTGCAGTGAGTTTTCAGAAATGCATGTTTTAGTTTTGAAATGCATCACAAGCTTGCAACAAGCTTACAGCAAGTTTGCGACAAGCTAGCTGCAAGCTTGCGGTAAGCTAGTTGCAAGCTTGCGACCAGCTTGCCTCTAGCTTGTGGCAAGCTTGCGTCTTGCCTGCAAAAAAAATTACCTCTTTTTACCGAGGATAGTAATTATTTACGCATAATGTGATGTGGTATAATATT